CAGGGGCTGCTAACATTTTCCAGCCCTTATTCTCAGACAAGCACTGTCATGGCATGCTAAGTCACTTCAGTCGTGTCCAACTCTGTGCGATCCTATGAACTGTAACCTGCCAGGCTCCCCTGTCCATGGGATTCTCCAGGCAAGAATACCGGAGTGGGATGCCATGCCCTCCTCCAGGGAATCTTCCCAAGCCAGGGATCAAACCCACGTCTCTTCCGTTTCTGCACTGGCAGGCAGCTTCTTTACCACCAGCACCACCTAAGTACTTCTTATACGGTAACTCATTTACTCCACGTTCAGCCTTTGAGGAAGGGCGTGTACTGACCCCACTTCACAAGATCTGGAAACACCTTCTAAGTCAGGATGATTCATGTGTCGTCAATGTCATTTTGACATTGGTCTTTCCACTTCCGTGTTTGGCCAGTCTGACTCCTGGTGAAGCATGCGAGGTGAGTCCCCCTGGATAAGATCAGAGAGAGGGCAGCATGGGGACTGTGCCGCTGGAACCAGCTACCTGGCTTCCCTGCCCTCAGACCTCTGTTCTCAGCCAATGCTGCCCTGTCACCCACTCTTCCATTTCTGCCTCTGCCTTAGCCTCACCATGCTGGGGCTCCAGGCTCCATCTCCTGGCAACCCCACCTCCCCTTTCACTTCTGCATTTGTCTCCCCCAACCCCTGATCCTCCCCATTCTGTTCCCTGTCCGAGGAACGTCCCCACACACCCAGAAACCTAAGAGAAGCCAAATAAACCTCAATATTTCTTCACCAGGAAACTCCACATCCTAACCATACTGGAAAAACAAGCTTTTTTTTTTTTTTTTCTTAATCAGAGTTCATGAAACCTCCAATTACTTCACAATGTTTTGGCAGAGAACAAAACAAAACCCAGCATTTCACAAAATGGATTTCTGGCTATTGCAAAATGATCATCAACTGTCCCTACTTCCCAGAGAGGCTGAAAGGAAAATTCATTTGCAAACAGCTTCTTACTTTCCATTTGGGTTTTAAATATAGTCCGACCCCTAGTTCAGTTACAGGAGGTCAGAACTGAGGTTGAGGGAATATATTCACACAAAGAAAAGGAAGACAAGATCAGCATCCAGTCCAGAGCCAAGAAACTGCTGGAAGCCCTCAGCCCAGCCCAACCCTTTCCCATCAAAAAGCCACAGAATTTCAGGACTGAAAGTTACTGTAGACCTATTGGCCCAGCTGTTACATCCCTGGACAAGCATTTTCCCTTCCATTTGGATTGTCTATGAATTACCATGATTTGATATGTGAAAACAAACACTGAAGTTAACAATGACTTAAAGAAGGTAGACTCTTGAGAACCCCTTGGACAGCAAGGAGATCAAACCACGGCATCATCCTGAAGGAAATCAACCCTGAGTATTCATTGGAAGAACTGATGCTGAAGCAGAAGCTCCAATACTTTGGCCACCTGATGTGAAGAGCTGACTCACTGGAAAAGACCCTGATGCTGGGAAAGATTGAGGACAAGGGGAGAAGGGGACGACAGAGGACGAGATGGTTGGATGGCATCACCAACTCAATGGACATGAGTTTGAGCAAGCTCTGGGAGACAGTGAAGGACAGGGAAGTCTGGCATGGTGCCGTCCACAAGGTGGCAAAGATTCGGACATGACAACAACAAAAAAGGGAGAATTATTTCTCTTTTCTCTTAGGTAAGAGGCCAGAGGTGGGAAGTCAGGGCTCAAGGATTTAGCTACTCCCCAAATTCATTCAAAGACCCCAGGCGTTGGCTACGCTGTCTGTCCATTCACGCTCAGTTTTCATCTCATGGTCCAAAGCAGTTGCTCCAGCTCCTGCCATTGAACCCATACTCAGCCAGCAGATCTGACTCAGAGATCACTCTCATCACCTCTGCTTTCAAGGGGAACTGGGGGTAAAAAACCGAAAACAGTTGTCAGTTGGGAAGCCAGGTGCCCAACCAAAAAATCTGTTGCTGTATAAGATAGAGAAATGGGTATTAGGAAGGAACTGGCCATGTCTGCCACAGAGGGCTCCTATGGAAAAATGCAAGTCATTTTATGACACAAATTTCCAGAATTCATTGTGCTGAAGCATGAAGAATGTCACATTTTGTTTTATTTGGAACTCGCTAGCATCTTGGGCACAGTTCCACTTTGTTCTTAATGCCAAAATCACATCTCAAGAAAAAAATGTAATGGCTATTGGACTTGGCTGCTGGTGGACTCTGGACTGTTTAGGCTTGATTCTGGGCTCTCTTCTTACAAGGCAAATGGCTTTGGGCAAGTTACCTACCTGCCTGTGACTCAGTTTCCTCATCTGTAAAATCAGGGATGTGGTAGTCTCCAAAGATGACCCCAAACCGTCTCAGCCCCCCATATACACAGGCCCCTCCTCCATCAGGACCTGAAGCTTACGTCTAACCCTTGAGCCTGGGATGGGACTGGGACCCAGCAGACGTGCTGGGCATGCCACTCTGGGCCTGACTTTTAAGAAAACAGGCGGTTTCTACTTCTTCCCTCTTGTACCTGAATGCCATGCTGTGAGGAAGCCTAAGCAGCTGCCTGGACAGGCCCACATGGAAGACAACTGTTGGACAGGCCCCTAGCTCATCCAACAGTCTCCACTGAGCCCCCGCCTGTGAGGGAGCCCTGTGGGAAGTGAATCTTCTGGGCAGTCAGCTATCCCAGTTGATGCCATGTAGAGCTGTGGGATGATCCTGCCGAGCCTATGAAATGCAAACTGTGAGCAAAGAAATGATTGTTGCTTTAAGCTGCTAACTTTGGGGATAGTTCTTAATACAGCAACAGATGTTACTATTTAAGCACTAAGTTGTGTCTGCCTCTTTTGTGTGACCCCATGGACTGCAGCCTGCCAGGCTCCTCTGTCCATGGGATATTCCAGGCAAGGATACTGAAGTGGGTTGCCATTTCCTTATCCAGGGCATCTTCCTGACCTAGGGATCGAATCCCCGTCTCCTGCATTGTAGGCGGATTCTTTACCACTGAGCCACCAGTGAAACACACAGCAACAGATGACCAGAAGGCAAATTGATAGGTACAAGTAGGATGCTCTTGAAATAGAAACTTTAAACACCGGGCACTGGTTTGGGAACCAGATGGTAGGAAGGCCCTCGAGGAAACTGTTAGTGAAATTTAAAGAACCGTGAGGAGATTGCTATTGGATGCTGAAGAAAATAGAACCCCAAGAAAAACAAACATCATATATTAATATATACATGTGGAATCTAGAAAAATGATGTAGATCAACTTATTTGCAAAACAGAAATAGAGACATAGACATAGAGAACAAACACATGGACACCAAGAGGAAAAGGAGCGGGGGGAAGAATTGGGAGACTGGGGCTGACATATATACAATCCTACGTATGAAACAATTAGTAAGAACGGGCTGGACAGCACGGGGAACTACACCCAGGCTCTGTGTGACCTAAATGGGAGGAAATCCAAAAAAGGGGATATATGTATACACAGAGCTGTACGGCAGAAATGAACACATTGTAAGGCAACTATCATCCAATAACAATACAAATTAATTAACTGAAAATAAAATTTGAAGAAAAAACTAGGACCCCAGCAGGTAGCCAAGGTTGGATCAAAGAAGACACTTGTGAGTAGACCCTGAGTGAGCAGGTGGCCTCCGTTTCCCCATCTGTGGAGTGGTGGTGATATAGACATCTTCCTCCCAGAGCGGTCAAGGAGCTGATGAGTTAAGGTGTGTGCACAGCGTCAGGCGTATAGCAGACATTCTCCTTTCATCATCAGCCTAATCATCTGATGAACAGATGAATGGAATTCATTGCAAAACCATAAGGTAGACAGGAAAGGCTATAATTAACTCCATTTTAGAGATGAGAAAATGGAAGCTCAGAGGCATTAAAAAGGTTGCCAGAGACAGAATGGGTACAATTATTCTCATTTTACAGATGAGGAAACTGAGGCTCAGGAATTTAAGGAACAAACTCAAGGTCAAAGGTAGGCCGAGGCTTCCCCTCTGTCCTCAGTCACATCCCACTCTTTAGAATTCTGCCCTAACCCAGCAGGATTTCACAGAAAGCACAGGTGGCCGTCCTCACCAATGGCCAGGACAAGTGTCCTGAGATGATGGGAGGTTCTGCAGTAGCTTGAACCTTCCAAAATCTGCCCGGGGCCTCACCGGCTCAGGTCTCACTGGCTCAAGTGTTGCAGGGAGTCCCCTGGGAAATGGTGGCTCAGGAACGCCCCACCCCTCTCCCAGTGGGCTCAGCACCTTCCCCTGCCTAGGAGGATGGAGGTGGGGGTGGGTGAGTGTAGGGGGGAGTGTGGGGGCAGGGGGGCAGTGCGGAAGCAGAGGGGGAGGGCTGGACTTGGAGACCCTCAGGACCTCACCCCCAGCTGGCTGGTGCACCATTATTGGGTCCTTTGGGTTTAAGGTGCTATGTGGCTGGAACTTCAAGAAACAGAAGTTACCCGGACGCAAGTGTTAAGAGTTCCTAATCAGTAGCAGACAGCAAGAACTGGGTGTCTTTCTGGATTTTTAGTCAAAGGATGGAGTCTGTTTGGAAGGAAGGGAAGTGAAAGGCATGGAAGAAAAGTCCAGAGTGTGGAAGTCAGAGGCGGGGTGGACTGGCACCTACGGGAGGTTTTGTGAGGGGTGGGGAGACTGCAGTTCAGAAACGCTCACGCGGATGAAGAACGATCTTTGTGCCGGGCTCTGAGCTCCGTGAACCCGCCAGGTGGGGCCGGCCAGCGGCGAGCCGTCCACAGGTATCGTCCCGCGGACCCCAGCGCGGCCTCCGTGCTAGCTCTCCATCCACCGACCTCTGGAGAACCAGGGGCGCAGGAGAACTAGGGGGACCCGGCGAGACGACCCGAGCGCAGCGAAGCAATAAACGGGAGAAAGGCAGACGCGGGAAGGAGCTGGAGGGGGACAGGAGGAGGATTTTTGTCTTGAGCGCTGGGGGGCGGGGGGGGGTGCGGGGGGGCTCTGTCCTGCCTCCTGGGAGGCAGACGTGAAGCGGGGGGGGGGGGGCCGCTCGGAGGCGCCGGGGGACACCTGCCGCCTCCCGGGGAGTCTTCGGGCGCCCTCGACGACGGCCGCGGGGCAGGGGACGCAGGTCTCGGCAGGTGGACCCCCGCCCCTCACCGGCGCCCCAGCCGGCCTCTCCCACCCTGGCTTAGGGACCCCCCCCGACCCCCAGATCTCGTAACCTCAGGGCTGTGCCCCCGGCCTGGAACGCTTCCGCCACGCATTTAACTCCGCGTCCTCCCAGGCCTCCCCAGCAGCCTCCCTCGGCCGTGCACCCCTCCCGGGGACAGTTTCCCCAGAGCCCCACAGCCCTCGGGTCCAGCGTCCTCTCCCCTCCCCATCGAGGGGTCCGCAGGCTCCGACAGACAGATGCCCAATGAACTGGAACAGCTGGAGCGGCGGGGACGCGGGGCGCAGCGGGCCCCCCCACCCCCGCGCCATGGACCCCCACGCCCGCCTCCCAGGGGCCGCTACGTGGGTGGAGGCAGAGACCGCAGGACTCGGCGCGGCCTCCGGGAGCCCTGTCCTGACCCGAGGCCGCCCCCTGGAGGCCAGAGCCTCCCAGCGGGCACGTTCCTTGGCTTGAAGCTCCCCTTAAGTCTGACCTCTGGCCGGGGCGCCCCCGAGAGCCCCTCCCCCCCCTCCCCCACCTCCCCACCTCTCGCCAGCATCCACGACTGTAGGTCTCCGAATCAGACCGGGCGCCTCCTGGTGAATACAGGAGAAGGAGCAGCCCGGAGAGCAGATCTGAATCCGCCAGGATCCGGCCTCTTGTCTCGGACTCCCCCGCTCCCCTGGCTGACACGTGCACACCTTGGGCACACACGACACGCGCTCACACACCGCCACCTGTGCCTGCTCGCGCACGTGTCCACAGCGCCCTTCCTGGAAGTATGCCCCACCCTTCCGCCCACCTCAGCTCGCCTGGGTCATCCCCAGATGGTGCTCCCCAGGCCTTGCCTCCCGCCTCAATCCCTCCTGCTTCTCAGGTTCTCTGCAGGGCAGGGGTGCGCGCCTGCTCAGTCCTCTGTCCTGTCTGACCCCAGGCACTGTAGCCCACCAGGCCCCTCCATCCAGGGCATTTCCCAGACAAGGATATTGGAGTGGGTTGCCGGTTCCCCCTCCAGGGGAATCTTCCTGACCCAGGGACATAACCAGAATCTCCTGGGCCTCCTGCACTAGCAGGTTCTTTATCCCTGAGCCACCTGGGGAGCGAGGGCAGGGGCAGTATTGGTATTTCCCAGAATCCCCCGTGGATGCCCACCTTCCGGACTGGGCCCTTCCACTGCCTACTCACACGTAACCCACTCATGAGCCAGGCCCCTGGGAACAGAATACAGGATAAGTTAGCACTGTTGTAAGATGGATTTGACAATGACTAGCGTGACTGCACCTTAACTCAGCGAGAGGGGCTATGTTGGTGGAATTTTAGGTCATGTGACAGACTGTGGCGGGGGAGGAGATCTCAGTAATCTCCCCCAACCTCTTTATTAACTAATTCATCATCTTTCCTCCTCGATTTGAAATGCCACCTGTATCCTTTGGTCTGTTTCTGGACTCTCAAACGGTTCCATTGATGTCCAGTCTGCATTGGACAGGGCTTCCCAGGTGGCGCTAGTGGTAAAGAACCCACCTGCAATGCAGGAGACATAATGAGATGCAGGTTCCATCCCTGGTTGGGAAGATCCCCTGGAGGAGGACATGGCAACCCACTCCAGTGTTCTTGCCTAAAGAATCCCAGTGATAACTTCTGGGCATACACACTGAGGAAACCAGATCTGAAAGAGACACGTGCACCCCAATGTTCATTGCAGCACTGTTTATAGTAGCCAGGACATGGAAGCAACCTAGATGCCCATCAGCAGACAAATGGATAAGGAAGCTGTGGTACATATACACCATGGAATATTACTTAGCCATTAAAAAGAATTCATTTGAATCAGTTCTAATGAGATGGATGAAACTGGAGCCCATTATACAGAGTGAAGTAAGCCAGAAAGATAAAGACCAATACAGTATAGTAACGCATATATATGAAATTTAGAAAGATGGTAACGATAACCCTATATGCAAAACAGAAAAAGAGACACAGATGTACAGAACAGACTTTTGGACTCTGTGGGAGAAGGTGAGGGGGGGATGTTTCGAGAGAACAGCATAGAAACATGTATATTATCTAGGGTGAAACAGATCACCAGCCCAGGCTGGATGCATGAGACAAGTGCTCAGGCCTGGTGCACTGGGAAGACCCAGAGAAATCGGGTGGAGAGGGAGGTGGGAGGGGGGATCGGGAGGGGGAATACATGTAAATCCATGGCTGATTCATATCAATGTATGACAAAAACCACTACAATATTGTAAAGTAATTAGCCTCAAGAATCCCAGGGATAGAAGCTGGAGGGCTACAGTCCATAGGTTGCAGAGTTGGACATGACTGAGTGAGCGCACACACACACACACTTTACACACAATTTACAAGAGTCCACGCCTGGTGTTACACAGTGCTGTGCGCTTAGAGGAATGCATGTCAGCGGTCCACCATTATGAATCACACAGAATAATTTCACTGCTCTGAACATCCACTGTTCATCCTTCTCCCTACTCCCCTAGGACCCTAGGCATTGATCTTTTTACTGTCTGTATAGTTTTGCCTTTTCCAGAATGTCATATAGCTGGAATCATACAGTAAATAGCCTTTCCAGACTGACCTCTTAAACTATTTGATAGTTTGAAGTTACTTGACATCTTTTTGGTGGCTTGATAGCCACATTTCATTTTAGTGTTGAATGATATTCCACTTTATGGATGTATATTTCACTATCCATTCACCTATGGAAGGATGTCATGGCTGCTTTTTAGGTTTCAGCAATCATGAAAACATTATGAAATTAATCATTTAACATTAATAATTTAATAATCATTTGACTATTGAATGATTAATAATCATTTAATAAATTATGAAATCATAACATTGCTATAAATATCCACATGTATATTTTTGTGTGGACATAAATGCCGGGGTCCAGCCTCGGCAGGATCCAGGGGGTACCCTCAGGATGAACAGTGTCGGCAAGAGATAGAAGACACGTGAGACCAGCCTTGATAGGGCCAAGTCTGCGAGGGAGACAGAGAGACAGAGAGAGAGAGAGAGTGACCAGACCGGGGGTGCAGAGTCTGGCAGAGTCTGGCAATGCTTTATTTTTTACCGTGGCTTTTATACCCTAAGTTAGTACATTTCTAAGGGGAAGATAGTTTAACATTACATCAGCTTGTTCTTCACGAAACCAGGGTGTTTTCTGCATACTTCTTAGTTTATGAGGGTCTCGTACATTATCTTCTGGCCTCGGGACCTATTAACATTTTATGCAAGTCAGGTGAATGTAAACCTATTTTCTGTTTCTGTGGTGACCTTAACTGAAAGGTAGCAGTCTCATAGGGCAACAGTACAGAGTAGAAGTATAACCTTGTTAACGTAAAAATTAATCCTGCAGAAGTTGTCAGTTGCGTTTATCTAAGAAGTTTACCCCAGACTGACTCTGCGACTTTGGTGAGGCAGCCCCTGCCTAGCACTCCTGGCTGACAATTAACAACCATTTCATTGTTACCACACTAGGGCTAAGTTCTTATTTCTCTAGATCTTTAACTATATTAACAATGGTTTCTATAACAAAAGCTTAGCACATTAAAAGCAAAAACACAGCAAGCAAAACACAGCAAGCAAACGCCAACTCAATAACCACCTTTAGAATAATTTTTCTTATGTTTTCTAATAGGACTCCTTCACCCCTCAAAAATGCTCTATGTCTATTAGGGCTTTTATATGATCAGGTTCTTTATGTTATTTTATGACTAGGATATTATAAGCAATCATGCATATTAGTACCAAGGGCATAAATGCATTTGCCAAACAAACTAAAATACCAGCAAAGGAGTTAAAATTAAAACACTCCTTTCACCCTGGATAATCTCATAAAATACTATCACCTGGGAAACTTATTGATTAAAGTTCTAAATTGATTCTTATTTGGAAAGAGATCGGGGAAGGCCTTCTGCCTGTGTCACAGAAATTAGGGAGTAGTCTATCGAGGCAGGCATCAGAAAGAAGAGATCATCTTTAAGGTGAGCGCCGGGGGCAGCTTTTTGAAACCCCTGAGAACCTGATCCGCTTGCCGTCAGGCTTTCTCCTCATGACCTTGTCATGGGTAGGGTCTCGTGTGTTGGCTCCCAGCACATAAGTTTTCAAGTCCTTTGAGTAAATACCTTGGAGTGTGATTGCTGGATCATATAGTAAGGCTGTTTAGCCCTGTAAGAAACCGCCAAGCTGTCTTCCAAAGGGGTTGTTTTGCATTTCTACCAGCGATGAATGAGACTTCCTGTTGTTCCACTTCCACGTTGGTATTTGGAGCTGTGGGTTTTGTTTTGTTTTTCAGTTTTTTGGATTTGAGCCATTGGATTTTAATAGGCATGCAGTAGTATCTCACTATTTTAATCTGCAATTGCCTAATATGGATTATATTGCCATCTTTTCCTATGCTTATGTGCTATGTGTATATCTTCTTTGGTGAGGTGTCTGCCTCCATCTTTTGCCCATTTTAAACTGGGTCATTCTTTTTTTTTTCTCATTGTTGAGTTAGAAGAGTTCTTTGTATATTTTGCATGTAAGTTATCAGATATGTGTTTTTCAAATATTTTCTCCCAGTGTCTGACTTGTCTGTTCATTCCCTTGATGGAGTTCTACTTTATTTATTTATTTATTCTTTTTTTGGAGTTCTACTTTAAAAAGCCCATGGTGGCTCAGTGGTACAGAATTCGCCTGTCCATGCAAGAGACACAGGTTCAACTTCTGATCTGGGAAGATTTCACATGCCGTGGAGCAACTAAGCCCATGTGCCACAACCATTTAGCCTGTGCTCCCGAGCCCAGGGGCTGCAACTAGTGAGCCCACAGGCCCTAGAGCCCCTGCTCCACAAGACAAGCCTCCACAATGAGAAGCCTGAGCACCTCAAAGAAGAGTGGCCCCCACTTGCCACAACTAGAGGAGACCCATGCACCGCAACAAACACCCACCACAGTAAAAAAAAAAAAAAAAATCTTAAAAAAAAAAAGAAAAGAAAAACGCCGAGACTTCCCTGGTGGCTAAGATTCCATGCTCCCAATGCTGCCTGAGTTCAGTCCCCGACCAGGGAACTAGATCCCATATCTCAAGACTAAGGCCCAGAGTGGCTAAGATTCCATGCTCCCAATGCTGCCTGAGTTCAGTCCCAGACCAGGGAACTAGATCCCATATCTCAAGACTAAGGCCCAGAGCAGTCAAATAAATAAATACTAAAGAAAAAAGAAGCGCATTGTTGCCCCCGCCTCTGCCTTGGCCTCTAATCCAGCTTCTATCGGTGAAATAAGGGCATATCGATCCCTGACTTCCTTGTCTTCCTCTCAGCGGATCTGATCCTTTGCAGGAGAAAAGGGTCCATGTATTAAGCCCCTACTTCGCCAAGTGTTGTAATGGAGATCAAATGCTTCCGTCTTTATAAAGCCCTTGGAAAAGGGCCTGAAACATTAAGTGCTCAGTTGCTGTGGAAAATGATAATAACAAGCATCACATCTTTTAATAGCGAATAGAGTCAGTCCTTCCTTATTACTCTTCCTTTTCAGGATTTTCCTAGCTATTTTCACACATTTACTCCTCTAGATAAGTCATTTGATTAATTTTTAAATATCCTGTTTGGATTTTCTAAATAAGTAATTCAGAAAAAAAAAAAAAGGCATTTTCATGATGTTGACTAGATTTCTCATTCAAGAATAAAGCCTGTCTTTTTATTTAAATCTTTCTTCACATAGGACTTACACAATCCTTACCTGGGGTTATTCAGGGAGGGTGGCGGCAGGGGTTTAGAAGTCCAGCCTGCTGCAGACTTTCTGGGACCTGAAAGCTCACCTTTGCATTCCTGTTCACACCAGTGAAAACACGGCGTCAGGGAGGCGGGGAGGGATAGCCAATTAGCTGATAACCTCCTGGGATTGAATCCCACTTTACAAATGACAAAGCTGAGAATTCCAGTGGCCTGCCTAAAACCCAGAACAGGTAAGAGGTGGAGACGGGATCCAAATGGGGTTGCCTGTGGCAACGGGCACGGGATTCAAATGGGGAAGGGAGGGCAATGCTGCTTTTCTCTCCTTTGTTTCAGGATTCCCTGTCATTCTCATATTTTCCACCCGGGGGCGCCGGATAACAAGGTTGTGAAGGGAGCCTTGCCGAGCGCTCTGGGCCCCCCGCTCTCTATTGCTTCCGCTCACCGGCTCCTCCTCCTCCACGCCGGCCCGGAGGCCGAGGGAGACGCCCCAGGTGACATCTTTTCCTCGCCCTCCCCAGCCCTGAGTGCGAGAGGCCTGGCCTGTGCTGATCAAGGTCACACATCAAGACGCGGGCGGTCTGGCTCCATCGCTGGCCTCTCACCGGGCCAGCCAGGCCCTGGGCCCTGCCCCCCACTTCCTCCATCATTAGAACTCCTTTTTCTTCTCCCCTTTTCTCCTCCCTTTCCTTCTCCGTCTTTGCCTTAAAGCCGAGGGCCCACGCAGGTGACCTCCCGGGGCTGCTCACGGGCTCGCGGGAGCTGCCCGTCCTTCCCTCCTCCTTGGTGCCCCACTCCGCCATCTCCCTCTGTCACACCTGTTTCTGGGTCTGCACCCCATCCCTGCGGCTCCCGAAGGCAGGCCCACAGGGGCCTCCCTGCAGTGTGCGGGGTGCAGCAACAGCATGAGGTCCCCTGGGGTAAAGAAATGTGTCTGGACAGGACAGGGCTCTGCAGGACCAAACCTCAGGGGTGCTGCCCTGGGGCCCTCTGCCCCTGGCATTCCCAGCAGGGGTGGACTATGGGACTTGACTTTCAATTAACCAGACCCCGAACAACTGACCAAGAACCCAGAGCACCCAGGTCTTAGTTTACACAGAGGACACACCTTAGTTTACATAGAGGGACTCGCCTGAGTGTGGGCACGGCCCACTGGGGCCTGGGAGTCCTTGAGTCAGAACCTAAACTGTGTATTAAAAAGCAGAGAAATCACTTTGCTGACAAAGGTCCGTATAATCAAAGCTATGATTTTTCCAGTAGTCATGTATGGAGGTGAGAGTTGGACCATAAAGAAGGCTGAGCACCAAAGAATTGATGCTTTTGAACTGTGGTGTTGGAGAAGACTCTTGAGAGTCCCTTGGACTGCGAGGAGATCCAACCAGTCCATCCTAAAGGAAATCAGTCCTGAATATTCATTGGAAGGACTGATGCTGAAGCTGAAGCTCCAGTACTTTTGCCTCCTGATGCGAAGAGCCGACTCATTGGAAAAGACCTTGATGATGGGCAAGATTGAAGGCAGGAGGAGAAGGGGACGACAGAGGATGAGATGGTTGGATGGCATCACCGACTCAATGGACATGAGTTTGAGCCAACTCTGGGAGTTGGTGATGGACAGGGAAGCCTGGCGTGCTGCAGTCCATGGGGTCGCAAAGAGTCAGACACGACTGAGTGAACAACAAGTTGTGGCAGGCATTAACTGATGTGGACTGTCGTGGATAGAAAGCGCCTACCTTTTCAAGTCTCCTTCCCACCTTCTGTGGAGGAGAAAGCTCAGTTCAGGGCGAGGACACCTGGCCGCCTCTGAGCACCTTCTGTCCAGGGGACAGCGGGCCCCCTCGGGCCTCTGGTCATCCCAGCACACAGCTCGAATGTGGTCCCATAATCTCCGCTGTGCTTATCTTTATGGTTACTTTCTATTTCTGACAAGGGATCCTTGTCCTCTACTTGTGATGATATAGTTTCTTTTTTAAGGAAAAAAGCGAATCGATTTAAGGACTTAACAGAGGAGGTGGGGCTCAGGGGAACAAACCTGTCACAGGCCCTGGGATGGCTGGAGTTTGGGAAATGGGAGATGTGCTCTTCTGAGCCATGATACCACCAGGTAGGAGGTATCATCCCCTTGCACAGATGAGGAAACTGAGGCCTGGAACGGTGAAGTGACCGTGACAGTGAAAGCCTTTTGGGTGGGAATGTGCTTCCCTCTTTCTCCCATTGCCCACACCTGGCATCCCAGAGCCTGGGCCCCTTCTCATGGGGCCAGGAGCCCACACCTTGGCTGGTACCTGGACTTGGGGGCTGGGATGGCAAAACCCATTCATTTCTTTAAAACTAAGGTCAGGACTGGATGAAGCCAGAGAAGCTGTCTCCTCAGGGCCCAAAATGAAGGGGCACCCAAAAGCAGTGATTAAGACAACCCAGTTAACAGTCGGGGGCCTGAGCAGCAGTTCTGTCGCCAAAGCACTGGGCTCCTGAGAGGTAGCCCCAGTGGAGGAGAGAGCGCAGACCCACAGGAGGGGTGTCCCACAGAGGATGCGTGTGTCGTTGTCTCCATGCGGCAGCGGGGGAGACTCCAGCCTGGCCACGCAGCCAGTGCATGGAGGGGCCAGGCCTTGAACCCGGGTCTGTTGGACGCCAGACCTGAGTTCTTTCCTGTATCCAAGCCCCAGTTGTACTGAGGCTCTGAATCCTGGAGACCGTCTCCTGGAGGACCCATACCCCTGGGCTCTTTCTGGACTCATTTCTAAATTTTTTAAAAATTTTATTTCGTTATTTATTTTTGGTTGGGCTGGGTCTTTGTTGCTGCGCACGGGCTTTCTCTAGTTGTGGCAAGTGGGGTCTGCTCTTCGTTGCAGAGTCTGGGCTCCAGGGCGAGTGGGCTTCATTGGCTGCAGCACTTGGGCTTAGAAGTTGTGGCACACGAGCTTAGTTAGGTGGGATCCTCCCGGACCAGGAGTCGAACCCGTGTCCTCTGCACCGGCAGGCGGATTCTTAACCACTGGACCACCAGGAAAGCCTGGACTCATTTCTTTATGCCGTGCTTGTCCCCACGAGGTTGGAGCCAGAGCCAGAAGCATAAAAGAGCCCCGAATGCCAGGCCACACACCAGCCGTGGGGCCCCTCCCGCCTTGCTGTGGGCGTGTCATGGCCCCGGGAAACCGGGCTGTTAACTCTGTCTGTAGCCCGCCCAGGGCTGCAGTGTGGGCCCAGGGACGCGGTGGGCAAGCTGAGACTGAAACCCGGCCACCACCGAGCTCCTCTCCTCTCCCGGACCCTGGGTCTGTCCCGTCGTCTCCCCACACAGAATGCCGTCACATGGTCAGGCCCCCTCTTCTCCCTGGTGGGACGGGGACCGTCAGTTAGTGAAGGAGCTCGCGGACTCAGAGGCGCATGCGTGCCTTAAGCAGCTTGCCTTAACTGCTGTGAGTGGACATCCCCTCGGAATTTGTTGATGAGGACCCCAGGTCTCTGGAGGTTGGAGCTGCCCTGGAGACAGGCCCTTGCTTTTGGTGTTACCCGCCCCCACCAGGTCAGGTTTCCCTGGTGACTCCGTGGTCAAGAATTTGCCTGCCAGTGCAGGAGATGCGGGTTCGACCCCTGGGTCAGGAAGGTCCTCTGGAGAAGGAAATGACTACCCACTCCAGTATTCTTGCCTGGGAAATCCCATGGACAGAGGTGCCTGGTGGGCTACAGTCCATGGGGTTGCAAAAGGGTCAGATAGGACGGAGTGGCTAAACAACAATAACCCCCACCAGGCAGTATCTGGGGCTCCAGGCTTGGCTCCCAGGGAGAGCTCGAATCTTCAGGGATTTAAGAAACCATCTGAGTGCAGAATTAAGCAGTCATTTCACCCACCTAATTTGGAGGGGTTTTTGTTTTGGCCGCACCATGCAGCGCTTCGTTCCCCAAGCAGGGTTCGAACTCATGCCCTCTGCAGTGAAAGCATGGAGTCTTAACCACTGGGCCAGCAGGGAATCTCCCATCCTGCAGAAACTTTTAATGCAAGTTGCCTGTGTCAGATTTTTCCATGGGATTCAATTTGTTTCTACAGAAACCCCCACAATCCTTCTGTTAGCCCTCAGGTTTCAGCAGCTCATGTGACACTGAATTACTTGAAGGGTTACAGTGGAAAGGACTCAACAGGCACAAACCGGTTTGGGGACAGACATCCTGGAGCTGGCTCAGCTGGGGGTGACCTGCAGGCATGGAGGGACAGGGGTGCCAGAGAAGCCAGCAGGTTGTGCCTGTTTTGTGTCAGCTCTTCAAGCCCAGATGCCCTGATAGTTCCCACTCCCTTTCTATGGGCCAAGTGAGCCCTCCAGCACCTCCTCCCCACACACATTGGGGCATCCACCCCCCCGGAGTTGGGACTCCTCATCCTTGTGGCTGCCCCATTCTCATCCCACATCTGGTGACCAAAACCTATGGGAATGGATGAGATGCCCCCTCACTCAAGTCCACTACTCCCCATTCGTTTCTTTAAAACTAAGGTCAGGACTGGGTGAAGCCAAAGAGGCCGTCTCCTCAGGCCCCAAATTGAAGGGGTGCCCAAAAGCAGTGATTGAGACAACCCAGTTAACAGTGGGCAATTCCCTGTAGCTCATGCGGTAAAAAATCTGCCTGCAATGCAAGAGACACAGGTTCAATCCCTAGGTTGGGAACATCCTCTGGAGAAGGAAATGGCAGCCCACTCCAGGATTCTTGCCTGGAGAATCCCATGGAGAGAGGAGCCTGGCGGGCTATAGAGTGTGGGGTTGCAAAGAGTCAAACACAACTGAGCAACGAACACCACCCATAGGGTCTGAATGGACATTTCTCCAAGGTACACAAAAGCCCAACAAGCATATAAAAAGAGGCCCTTGAGATCATCAGCTCCTAGGGAAATACAAGTCAATACCACATCATACCCATGAGAATGGCTATAATCGAAAAGACAGATGATAACAAGCATTGGTGAGAACATGGAGAAATTGGAACCCTCCTACACTGCTGGTGGTTATGGAAAATGCTTTAGCAAACTGGTTATGGAAAATGCTTTAGCAAACTGGTGGTTCCTCAGTAAGATAAACATAGAATTATATGACCCAGGAACTCTACTCCTAGGTATGCCACCAGGAGAAACATGCCCGCAGAAAAATTTGTACACAAATGCTGTTCATAGTAGCATTACTCATAATAGCCAATAAGTGGAAAACAGCTTAAATATCCATAAGTAGATGGATGGATAAACAAAGTATTTATCCATACAATGGAGTATCATGCAGCCAGATCTTGGCTTCTAATGCCATTCTCCAACAAAAGGAACCTGGTCTCCTTGGAGAAATGCCTGATCCTAGAACTAGGGCAGGGATTATACAGAATGTCTGGGCTTGTCTGGGCTTCCTGTGTAGCTCAGTCGGTAAAGCATCTGCCTGCAACACGGGAGACCTGGGTTCAACTTTTGGGTAGGGAATTTCCCCTGAAGAAGGAAATGGCAACCCACTTCGGTATTCTTGCCTGGAGAATCCCATGGATAGAGGAGCCTGGCAAGCCACAGTTCATAGGATCGCAAGAGTTGGACATGACTTAGCACTGTCCTACTTTCTTATACAGAATGAGCCTAGAGCACTTTGTAATGCCAGAAACTAGGCAAAGACTCAAACACACACATACAAACATGTATACTGTGTTAAAGGGAGATGGGCCAACTGAAAGAGCTCCCAATAGGCAAAGGTTGAACAATCTGAAGAAGATAAGAAAGGAAGGAAGGGAGGGAAGAAGTTTCAGATGAGTGATTGGGTGGGGCTTGCCTTGGTCACCGGTCCTCAGAGGCTTCTGCTGGTCACCTGTCTTCACCAATCAGCATGGGGGGCTGAAACCGAGCAGCTCTTTGCTTCTTCCCCACCTCCGTGTGTCCAAGAGGCTTCTCGGGA